GGAGACTGCTTTAAAGTTCAGGTCTGTCTGACAACACCACAAAGACTCAGAATGATGGGAGCTTCTCTTCCCCACTAGATAAAGTCAGCGTGATCCTGGAACAGCGAGCGAACATGAAACAAAGCCCTGGATTTTAGCGAGCAGAATCAACAGGTCTCAGATGAAGAGCATTTGCCGTCACATGATGACATGTGAAACCGCATTAATAATATATGCAACATTAGAGCCTCTAATATCCAATCTGCTGAGAAAACACCTTCAGAATTCCTGTGTAAACATCAAAAGAGCAAACAGGTCATCTATAATCACCTGCGTCCAGAACGAGGGATGGAAGATCTATCACAAGACGTCAGTGAATCAAAAATGCCAGGCAAATGTCAGCGGAGCTCATAAAAGTCTGTTCCTGACCTTCCCTCTGCACTAATATGTGCACAACGCTTTAACATCACATGAACTCGTGCGGCATGAATATGCACACACCCGCACGCTCGCACAAAGAAATGTCACTCCAGTGATGTTCCTCGTCTGCCATCAAATCTCTCAGTTGCTGTTTAAAGCTTTTTTCCCAGTTGTTGTTTTTTGGTGGATGCTGTAAAGCGGTCTTCAGATGTCTTTGACTGCCGTGGCTTTCTGCGTTAGGGCTTTAATTTTTAAAGGAATAGTTCAGTCGGAAATAAAAGTTCTGTCAGCATGCGGCTCCAGAGTCATGTGATTTTCTTTCTTCTGTTGAACACAAAAGGAGACATTTCGGAGCATTGTCCTGGTCGCTGTTTTCCGTGCAATTACAAAGAATAGGGAACAGGCTTTCAAGCTTCAAAAATGACATAAAAGCACGATAAAACTCAGAAAATAATCATTAAAGTGGTACACTTTGGCTTTTGCGCCATATTCTGAAGCCATATGGTAGCTTTGTGAGGAACAGACTGAAATATAAATTACTCACTATCATCTGGAGTTAAGATGAGAAAGTAAAATGATAGAAAAACTTAATTAAAACATTCCATTAATTAAAATAAAAACTTTAACTGATATGAAATAAAATATAAAAAAAGTTTTATATACATAATTTTTTTTAATTAAAAAAACTATTTCAGTTAGTTGCCAAGGCAACAATTCATATTTTTTTTAAACTCAAGTCGAAAAAAAACACAAGAAATTCATAAAACTTAAACTAAAATAAAAACAAAAAAAAATCTAATCAATACTGTAATTGTAATGATAAATAACACAGTTTGTGATTTATTTACTATTTTATTTCATTGTTTGATTTAAAATAATATTATTATTATTTATAATTAAATATTTTTTAATCTCAGTCGCATCTCTTCTTATGGTGAGAACAAAGTAAACAATGTGCAATTATATTCAATTAACTAACTAACATAATCAATCAATCAATTTATTTTGTTAAAGACATTTATAAATAATACAAAACAAAAATTAAAAACTATATTCATGGTGAGAACAAAGTAGATAATATTATAAATACAATAAGATTTTATGACGATTAAAAAAATTCAGGTGTTACTATATATATATATATATAAATAAATAAATAATTTGAAAATATCTCTGAGAAAAAAAATGTTTTTTACATTAAAAGTTTAATCTGATTCCTTGAAAAGATTCAATTTCAAACAATGCTCCATTCACAAAATGTATACAGTTGCTACTTCTCATTACTTTTCTTAGCTTGTATGACTTTGTTTGGCTTCAGGAGACTTGAAACAGTGCACAATTTGTATGGACTGCTTTTATGAAAGTTTAATGATGCTTTTGCACTTTGAAGAAGTTTGAATGCCTCAGTCCCCATTTATTGCAACTGCATGGAAAAAGAGCAACTAAATTCTTCAACATATCTTTTATGTTCCACAAAAAAAAAGGCAAACGATGACAGTATTCTCATTTCTTTAATTTAGCTCAACCACAGCAAGTATCTGAAGTTTCTGCTCAAACTCTTAAGACTCAGACGCTCTAATAGCAGCAGAAAACACAGCCAGCTCAGAACGTCCTCTATCGTTTGACCTGGAGGGGTTTCCCAGCACAAGCGCTGGTCGTTTATATTCTTAATTTAATTTTCCCAAGGCCTGCTCCAAACAAAATCATTACAGACAAACATCTCTGGAGACAAATATCCACACCTGAGCCAATGGCACCACAACATCCATATGTGAACATCTGTAATACAGAAGCCAGAACTGACAGCAAATAAAACAAATAACAGAGTGAATGTGCATAAAACACTCAATAAATAAAAGACATTCAATCTGTGACTGCAACCTACAGCACAAAGCACACATCTAGAGCTCCATCCAGAACGTTCCATTACAGTTAACCATCACTGCTGTTTAATGGAGTCATTATACTCAAATGATGACAGACAGGTGTGCTCGACTGGCTGAGGGCAAAACGGCCACACACACACACACACGCACACACACACACACACACACACACACACACACACACCCTCACACACTCAGAGTATTAATGCA